CAAAACAAAGGATGTGTACATAATATTAAGAATCAAGTCTCAGGTGAGTCGACATGTATTTCAGGGACACACAGTGACAGGCATCAAGCCTCACCTGGCATTGCTCAGCTGTCTGGTCGTCCTCTGGGCCTGGAGGCCTGTCCCTTCTGCAGACTCAGCTGTGACCCTGAGACAATGTGTCTATCAGCTCCCTCCCAAGCACGGAGTCTAGATGGCCACAGCCCATGAAGAACTACCTCATGTCGAGCTCTGTCCAAGTCCAGGTGCAAATGGTTAACACACAGAACTTCTAACCAGAAGATTGGTGGTTTGATTTTATTCAGAGCTGTTCAGTGATCTACGTCTGACGAATCAGCCATTCCATCCACTACAGGGCAGAGCTCCATGCTAGTAAGGTTGCTATGAAAGGAGCAACTTCACAGGAGCTGGCCGGACGTCAGGCTCCTTGACTGTGGACAGACACACACACGGAGCTGGGCCAAGTGAGTGTGGACTGCTGAGAGCTACTGAAGGAACTAGGGAAGCTCACAGCTACACAGCCCGTGAAGGCAGAATGCTAATTTGTGTTGAGTCAGGAAAATGGCAAGGGACTGAGACTGGGCCCCTGGAGGAGCACGGAGGCTGCCCTACACAGCCACTGGGGCTTTAAACAGAGAAATCCAAACGGCTCAGACAAGCAAAACACCCCCTTCAAATGCCATGAACCTTCACCCAGAAAAGAGCAACTTTAATTACAACATATTCAATATATAAGGTGGTACAGACCGCATGGGAGGAGAATGCCCATCTTTCTCCTGAGAAGTAGGTGGCAGATTTGAACTGAATGCCTTGCAGATGGCAGCACAAATCCTTACCAACAGTGTTCACCTGTGGTACCCGGTGGGCAAGCTGTGCTGCAACCCCAAGGATCTGACTCTACCAGTTGCTCCTTAGGAGAAAGAGGGACAATCTCCTTCTGTGTTACTCAAGGCTTTGAAAACCCACTGAAGAGTCAGCTAGGAGTTGACTTTGACTCTACAGCCAGCAGGGAGGCGAGGCAGACACCACATCTCCCTCCAAGTTTTGACATTGTAAGGCATTAATTAATCAAAGGTATTTAAAGTTATAAAATCTGTATGAATGAGTTGGATGTCGGCTGAAAGTAGAGTACTGGAGAAATGTCTGTGTTTCAATGACTATGCAAAGGCATTTGACTATGTGGACCACAATCAATTGTGGCTGACCTTGAGAACAATGGGGATTCCGGAATACCAGATTGTGCTCATCTGAAACCTACATTTGGACCAGGAAGTAGTTGTCAGAATAGAGCAAGGAAACATTGCATGGTTCAAAATCAGGAAAGCCGTGCATCAGGGATGCATCCTATCTTCAAACCTTTTCAATCTCTATGCAGAATAGGACAGAGAACAAATAATTTGGGAGGACGGGCTTTATGAGAAGAAATGTAGCATCAGGATTAAAGACTCATCAACAACCTGTTCTATGCAGATGACACCACCTTGCTTGGTGAAACTGAGGAGGACCTGAAGTATTTGCTGCAGAAGGTCAATGATTGTAGTCTGCAATACAGATTAAAGATCAGTATCAAGAAAATGAATATTCTCACCACTGGGCCAGCTGGCAGCACCATGACAGATGGAGAATAGAGTGAGATTGTTAACAATTTCAGCTTGGTTGGCTCCAAAATCAACACTCTTGGCACGAGCAGCCAGGAAATAAAAACCCGAATTGTATTAGGTAAATCTGCTGTCAGGGACTTCTCTAGAGTGCTAAAGAGCAATGATGCCAGTCTAACTAAGGCGCACCTGATCCAGACCATGGTCTTTGCAATTACTTGCTATGCATCAGAGAGCTAGAAAGTGACCAAAGATGACAGAAGAAGAATTGATACCTTTGAATTGTGGATACCTTTGAGTTGTGTTCCTGGAGAGGAGTACTGAATGTATCATGGACTTTCAAGAGAATAACCAGGTTTGTCTTGGAGAGGGTGAAACCAAGCTGCCCCTTGGAGGCAAGGATTTTGAGGCTCCATGTCACACTTTGGGCATGTTGCCAGGAGGGACTGGTCCTTGGAGAAGAACATCACGCTTGGAAGGATGGAGGGACAGTGCAGGAGTGGAAGATCTTGCTTGGATGGGATGGACTGATACAGTAATTGGGGTAATAAGGGTAAGTGTGTGTGAGTGAGTGAGACTGGCTCAGGGTAGAGCAGAGTTCAGAACTACTGTCCACGGGATTGCTATGAGTGGTCGTTGACTCAATGGCACATAACAGTAACAACAAAAGGAATGAATCAAAGAAATGGCAATTACTATAAAACAAAATGCACATAAACAAAAAATGGTGTAATTTATAAACTCAAAAGGAAAAAAGCAACTTTTATTTACAACATATTGAAAATCATCACATACTATCAACAAAAACTTAACCATGGAGAACACTTTGCTGCAGAAAGTCAGACTATAGCCTTCAATACGACTTGCATCCCAACATAAAAAAAAACACCAAAAACTTTTTCCATTAGACATCATGGTTTTCTTAATTTTTCTTGAATCTACACAACTTTATTTTACCTGGATCCACAATCAACCATTGTAACAACAGTCAAGAAATCAAAATATGTGTCAAACTAGGGAAATCTGTGGTCAATGACCTCTCTAAAGTGCTATGCAATTAAGTCAATTTATAGACTAAGGTGCACCTGATCTCAGTCATGGCATTTTTAATTACATCCTATACCAGCTGAACAAGGATGACAGAAAAATCGATGCCTCTGAAATGTGGTGTCACAGTATTTAATATCCCACGGGCTTCCAAAAGGCCAAACAAGTCTGTCTTTGATGAAGTTCAGCCAGGGTGCTCCTCAGAGACAAGGATGGTCAGACTTTTACACACACTGATGCTTAATGCTGCATCATTCACAACAGCAAAGAGATGGAAGTAACTCAAGTGTCCATCAATAAATGAATAGATAGAAAAACTACGCAACATCAACACAATGGGCTATGCAGCACTAAAAAAACAATAGCGAAACATTTCACAGCATGGGGGGAGTCTTGAGGACTAAATGAAATATTTTAGTCACAAAAGGACAAATACTGCCTTAGCCCCACTATTGTAAAATAGAACAGGTATGGGGCGGGTGGGATTGGGGAGGAATGGGGAAAGAGTGGATAATGAACACTGCATTAGGACAGATGAGGGGAAGAACTGTCCGAAAGGAATATATGATTATGCATTATGTGTTTGAGAATAATCTGGAACAAGGTGTGGATTTCTGGGTGGCCTGGGGGAGGCGGAAGAAAAGATGTGCGACAATGAATAAATAAATAAATAAGAAAAAAAAGGATGGTGAAACTTTGTCTCACATACTTCCGGCATTTTTTCAGGAGGGGCCAGTCCTTGGGAAAGGACACCAGGCTGAGAAATCTGGAGGGTGTGATCGCCGGAGTGACCGTAGCAATGGGCCTGAGTGTATGATGAGGGTGGTGCGGGAACTGCGTGCAGGGTTCGGATCTCTCGATCATTGGGTCGCTGTGAGTTGATCTGACTTGATGGCACCAAACATCAACAGTAATCCCAAAGTGGCATTTCTTAGAACTAACCACAGAAGTCAAAGGACAACCTTTACCCGGGGATAAGCCTCAGCTGGTTGGAGGAGACAGACATCCAAACCGTGAACACAGGGAAGGGCCAAGCTGTTACACTGTGCGGACTGACCACCAACTTAAGCAGTCAGAACGTGCAGGAGTTACTGACCAGAAACCCAGCTCGCTCTCTAAACTTCCATTCAAATCACAACACAAAATTCCGAACAAAAAGACTTTATTTGCCTTGCAGTTCTGGAGTTGAAGAGATTATAAAGGAATCAAAATTCTTGCAGTTCTCTCTCATTCCCCCACGATCTGAAGAAGAACCCAGCGTGTACCACTGTCCACTTGGCCGGGGTCTTAGCCAAGCAGCCTTCCTCTCACCTGGTATGAGCCATCGGGGAACCGACTCAGAGCCCACCCTGCAGAGGCGCCCTTCTCACAGCGGCAGCACGAACACCGGGGGGCTTGTGCGGAGGATGGGGGACGGGGCGCGTGCGGTGGACCCCAGGGCGCGTGGGGAGGACCTGGGCGTGTGCCCAGGAGGGGGGAGGGGGCGTGTAGGGTGGGCTGGCCCGAGCGCTCCTTGGAGGCAAGGACTCGCCTCTCGTTCTCTGGGCACGCTGTTTGGAGGGCCTCCTCCGTGCAGAGGAACGTGACGCTGGGAAGGGTGGAGGGGTCGGCGAAGACCCTGGACCACGTGGATGGACGCGGTGCTGGCAATGCCCAGCTGTGCATCAGAGAAGAGGCGCAGGACAGCACAGGGCTCAGATCGGCTGTCCACAAGCTTGGTATGGGCCGTATCCGAGTCCACAGCACACAACAACAACAGCAACCACCACCTCCCAGGAGGCTGTCCACCCTCCGCGGAGCAGCCCGTGGATTCGAACCGGGTGCACTGTCGGCCGCGCAGCGTCCTGCCTCCGGTCACCTGAGCGTCCAGAGACGGCGGTGACTCACACCAACACACGCAGGGATGTCACTGTAACGGACCCCGCAAGTTAACCCGCGCGCCACGTGGCTGTCCCCGACTCTGAGCTCCTTTACGCCGGGACACAGCTCACTGAGCGCCGCCTCGTCCTCCTAAAGCGAGCTGGCCGCAGACCTCGTCTGGAACAGGATGGGTCAGCGGGTGGCTCGCCTCCGTCCCGTCCTCTCCCCAGGGTCAGGCTGACCCTGTGCTCGGACACCGCAGCCCAGCGGGGAAGAGCGGCCGAGCAGCACCTGCGCCGGCGAGGCCCGGAGCACGCGGGCACGCACATGCGTCATCACGCCGGCACGCAGCGCGTTCCCATTGGGCGGCCCTCGGCGGAGGCGGGACTCCGGGCGGAAGTCGCGGTTTCCCGTGGCTCGCGCTCCCGCTGCCGCGCTGACCCGGCGGTTGAGGCCGCGCTGACCCGACTCGCGACCATGCTGCGCAAGCTCACCGTCGACCAGATCAATGACTGGTTCACCATCGGCAAGACCGTGGCCAACGTGGAACTCCTGGGCGCGCCGCCTGCCTTCCCGGCCGAGGCGGCGCGGGATGAGGGGCCCCAGCTGGACGAGGCTTCGAGCGAGGCCACCCAGGTCCCCGTCCCGGCCGGGCCCGACGCGGCCATCAGGAGGTAGGACAGGCTGGCGGCGGCCTCGCGGGCCAGAACAGGGAAGCCGAGTGGCCGGGTGGTCCTGAGACTCACGGCCATCCTGGGTCTGTCCACTTGCTCCGGGGAAGCCAGTCCTTCCTACGGCCGAGGCCCCTCACTGGTCTCCCCGCGGCCCTTCTGATGTTGGCCCTGAGCTGCCTTTCCTTCCCTTGCCCGTCCCTCAGTTAGGTCATCGGGTGCTGCCCTTGACACGTGGCGTGAGAGCCGAGCATGGGCCAGCCAGA